AACGACTTCCTTAATGATAGTAATTTGTAAATATTTATAAGTTTAATTATTTTTGACATTTATTATTTTTGACATTTTGAATGCAATACTATGACGTTTTTATTTTGTTATTCTATCTTTATTGACCTAAGTTAACAATATTTCATACGCCTGTGAGGGCAGATTTTGGTGGTACTAACATTAATACTGTGATCATAATTATTTACCCAAAATGTAATGAATAAATGATGATTGATTGATTGATTGAAAAAAGTATATTTAGTCTTTACACTTTATATTTAGGTTATTCTAGAAAAAGTGTTTTTATTTGAATAAGGCACTGATAGACCTCTGGAGTGTTATTGAAATTTTTCACTTACAAGGTTATACATACCTATATATTAATATCAATGTTCATCTATGAAAAAAAACATATTTTTTAATTTAAATTGTCATTCACAAAGCAATACAATTATTTTGGTAACACACACACGCATTTGTAGGGAACTACATATACATACATATCAGTCACATTCAAAACCTTTCTAGAGATTCCTCTTCTAGAGGATACTATCCATATTCCATTATAACAAATATCAACTGTAATGATAAATGCCTTTTTTTAATTTCTTTTATTTATTGTTATTAAATTTATGAATCTATATGTAATACCTACTTTTAAGGATGCTTTCAAAAAATATTCCCCACCAAAAAGTTTGACAACTGCTGACTTTTACCTAAATCAGTGGTTGTTAAACTTTTGACCTAAATTGGATACATGACTGCACGGTTGGCGCGATGGCTGGGCAACTGGCTGCAGTGCGACGTGTCGCGGGTTCGATTCCCGCACGGAACAACACTTTATGTGATCCACAAATTGTTGTTTCGGGTCTGGGTGTCATGTGTATGTGAATTTGTATGTTTGTAAACGCACCCACGACACAGGAGAAAATGCTAGAGTGGGGGCAACTTTAAAAAAAAAAGAAAAAGGAAAACATATGTCATTAAAATTATGTATTTATATAATTTTTAGGCGGCGGGAAGCTGAGCTGGTTAGTCTACAAGTTGCTGACGTCACAACTACGAGGGCTTCCAGTTCTGCAAGTGGTAGGTTTCCTGCCCTAGTCTCGAGCTATTTGAGTTCAACGACGCATTTTGTCATCGCCCAATATCATCTAACATCATTGTGTTACAAATTTCTTTTCCAAATGGTAACATAAAATTTGAGTGGACATCTGGTATAAAATTCTGCTCTGTGTGTTGTGTAGGAACAAATATTTAATTTATAAATAAGTATGTATAATGTTTATTACATTTCATTATCATGTAATTGTGATTTCGTCTCAATGAATATTCCTTTAAATGAAACAAAAACTACAAATTTCTTACACATACTCTTTTCTATTTTTCACTTACACAAACTCAGCACTCTATCACATACTTTTAATTCAACCTCATTACTCGTACATATCAACTCACTGATGAAATATTAAAACAATTCGTTTATTTTATAGGTTCCGATATAGTGAACTTGCCGTGTCATCGTCACGAAATTGAAGCTGATTGTGTGGTGTGCATTGTTGCCTGCAAACACGGGTACAACTTTTAGGCCATTCTGGCCATTAGAAGTCATAATTACTTACCTAATAGTTTATTATAATCTTCTTTGTCGGTTATGTCAAATGTGGTTGATAATACGAATATGGAATTAGAGATCTTAAACACTTACGATTAATTTATTGAACAGTTGGGATCTTATGAGTAATAGGTTGTTTTGTCATTATTAAAATATAATCATACTTCCATTAACTGATTAGAGGATAAACTTAATTTACAGTTAAACTTACTATAAATTGGTTCCTATTTATACAAAACTACCGATATTTTTTGTCATTTCAATAAAAGTATTGAATATGAATATTTACTTAAAAACTACGGGATTAATGCTTAGTGTATGGCTATGGATCTCAATTTTTCCATACCCTAAGACTGGTAGGGTAAGTGATGAGAAGAGATAGATATTTAATAATAATTTTATCGATTATTCAATTAAATCTTGTGCTAGTTTGAAGCATGGTTTGCCTATAAAAGTACAATGTTTTAAAATATTTATTTATATTAGTATAAGTATATAAAAATTTCGTGTCACGTGTTTGTCCGCGATGGACTCCTAAACTACTAAAGCGATTTTAAGTTTGATTTGCATTTCATATGTGTTTTGATCCAACTTGAAAGATAGCTTACTTCTCAATTTATAGACACAATATTACTCGTATTACCTTACCATATCCACAGCAATGCGTAGCGACTTGTTACTTACGTGTCAGTTATGTATAAAAACAGTACATATAAAAACTACTTATAGACCCAATATAAATAAATAAATTCAAAATATTATTTTTGTAATTTATTGTCAAACTGTTGGTCTTTTAAATACGCATGATATATAAAAACCAAAATTTAATTTGTGAATATGTGATTGGATATAATTTGATTGGTTGTAAGATAAAAACATGCGATTATAGTAGGTATACTGGCTGGATAGCGACCAGTATTTACATGTATAGCTTATAAGTATGTTTTATAGTGTCTTCAATGAGGTTTTATATCGGCATTTATCAGATGGCGCTAGTGATGCATTAGGTCCTTTATACTCTTTCCTATGTCATGTTTTATTTATTTATTTATTTATTAAGCTTTATGCACACAAATTTCTGTACATAGGCGGACTTAATGCCGTAGGCATTATCTACCAGTCTGTTTTGGCCTTCATACTTTTTTATATGCGGGACCGTAAAAAGTACCTAGTCTTCTTTGTACCTACGGACTTCCTAAAGGCGTATGACGCCCTAATTTATTTGTTTTTTGTCCCTCACATAGACTTTCCCTTAAAAATTAAAGATTAATAGATTGTCGTAAAAAATAAAATATGAATCGAGATACTTTATGCGATGCTAGCGCCTTTGAAAACCTTCATGGTGTAAATCTGGCAGTAGATTTGAAAAAGGAGATTACTATGTGAATAAGAATTATTTAAGATATATTATCTTGGTTATTTATTGAGTCGTGGTACAAACACATATGTTTGTTGCGTGCGGGAATTATTGTAAAAAATTAAGAAATTAAAAAAATTTGGTGCCAAGCACCTGTGTAATGTAGTTATTCTTATAAATAACAATAAAATTGTACGTTAAATAACTATTGGTCTTTGATTTTGATTGTCAAGTTTGATTTACCGCAACACAAGAGAAGGTGCAAATTCTCAACCTTTTTGGGGTTACTTGTACCTACTTGCCTATTTGTAAACAGCGCAAGCGTGGTTTCATGTTGTTTTTCTGTTAAGTGTATATGTTAATGCTTTCTTTGTTGCAAATTATTTCAAATTAAGTATTAAACTAAGTATAAAAATATCCAAAAATAATCACACGCAATATGTAATATTTTTTTATTGTAATCTAATTCAAGAGAAATAAATTCCTATGGATATTGACTTTAAAATGTCATGACGTCACAGCGTGCTATATCATACAAATTATTGTAATTATATTATCGATTTTGTCAATTTGAAACAAGTTTTGAAATTGACTAAGTACCTACTTAGTTTTAAACTACTCTTGTGGACTTTGTAGAAGTGTCTGAAGGGTTTAATATTTTTAATTTATGCGTGATGAGATTATGTAAGTTATCTAGTGGTGGGAGGGTGATGAGAAAAATTCCAAAGAATAATTTTTAAAATTGACTTATGGCACCCCTGATTGAAATTAAATTGATTTAATCAACCTGTTCAGGGATTTTAGTAAAACGATTTTGGTATACTATAGTAAGAAATCGACCTTTATGCATTATGTTATGATTCGGAAACTAAAAATGATATTTCTTTAAAGGCTGTTTTTTCAATAGTCAGATAAATGTTATCTGAGGACTAAAATTATTGCTGTCACTGTCTTATACAAACGTTCTGACGAAACACTATCATAAACCTTAGTGGTTCTAATTGCTATTTTAAGTGACCGTGTTTACTGCTAATATGATAAATAAATAAAAAAATAATTATTATTCCCCAAACATCTTTTATCTTACTATTGAAAAATTTGCCCTAAAAGATCTTTTTATAATTAACTGAGTACCTACCGAAATATGTATTTTTTAATGAATTGTTACATTGAATGAGTTCTATGTAAGTAGGTAAATACATGTTTTTATTTATTTACCATTTTCACTTTTATCCATGTAGGTATTTACTTGATATTTCCAGAATGTTATTTTTACAGAATTTTTGAAATAAGTACTTAATTGTGCTATATCTCTGTTTTAACTATGCGAAAAGAATTGAATTTGACTAATACCTAGTCAAATTGCCAATTATGTTGTATTTTTGTTTCTTCATAATACTCAAACAATTACCTAAATGTTTCAAAAATATAAATATAAGTATTTTTATTACCAAATTATGCAACTGCGGGGCTGCGGGGTAAGCGCAATGAGGCACCGCGACCTCGGCCCAGAGCAGGAGAAGGAACGGGGGGGGTTTTTAGTCAGTAAGAGTCTGACACTCTCTCTCGCCTTACCCTGGGCGGGAGAAGTCATTGGATGATTTCCCCTGACAAAAAAAAAAAAAAAGTATTTTTATTACCAAATTATGCAACTATTCCTTATTTTTCAGAAAATTATTAAAGTGAAATATATTATGTACTACATAACTACATAATATATTTTACATACATTATAATATACACTAGGCTGTGCCAAAAGTAACGGAATTTTTGGGCCCAGTTGCGGCTTGAAGGTATGTTTATTCGCGAAATTTTGTCGAATAAGTAATAGATAAATCTCGTAAGAAATAAAAACATTTACAGTATAAGTAATACTTCTACAAAACATTAAAATAGGTATCACCTTAACTTTTGTAACTGCATATTCAAAATTAAGTACTACAGTATTAACGTACCTACCATGGAATTTTACAGAGACGACGTTTAATATCCATCGCTAATAATACTCGGTCAATACTCCAGTATAGAGAAGTCTTCATGATTCTGTCATCTTTGCTCATTTAATTGTCACAATCAGTGGCTCGCTACGACTGACGGCCGCGTTTCTCGTTCCCTATCTAAATAACTTTAGTGTTTAGTGTGATGACAAAAATCATATCGATACTTATAAGACTAGGCTGTAAGTGCAATACCTTGCGCTTGGATTTGTGACGAAAATTTTAAAGGTAAGTTTGACAGCTTATTCAAAGTTCTTAATTTGAAAATTGCGCCAAATCACATGCGTATTTATTTTATTCTGCTGAATGTGGATTTGACCATCGACTTATTAGGTAGTCCCAAAAGCAACTCTCAGTCTCAACTTCGATTCCCGGGTTACGTATTATAATAGGTTTAGATTATCAAAAAAACTTTTTGTTTGTATATGATAGATACGACAGACGGATTACCCGAAGGTAAACAATCGGCGCCGCCCAAGGATACCTATATCAACAGAGGAGTATCTAACTACGTTACCAACTTTTAGGGATTAGGATTCTGGAGATTAAGGCATTGGGGAAGTATGAAAGAAGGAAAAGAATTGGGCATTTTGAATCTAGGTTCCATCTTCTCCTACACTCAAGTAAATACTTACTTAATGAAAAGTAGGCGCTACGTTGAAAATATTTACTTCAGTCAACCCCATAGAAAAAGGCCTGACTGTAGTTATAACCACTGCGGTTATATCCTCTTTGTTAAATGTACATTATCTTATGTAATGTTAATTTACCTATGCTCCAAAAACTATAGTTTGGTTACCTCACGATTTCTTTTCCACAAACTTAAGCCTTTGACTGCCGACAGAAATCTATATTGAGGGCTAATACTCCGCTAACGTAGGTCACCGGTGACCTGCGTGGCTGTTAACATGTTAATTACAAATACAATTAGAAAAAATATGAACAGTAAGTACATATAGACGTCACGTGACACATGCATATTAGCGTAACAGATTATTTATTAAATCGTCCTTTATCTTTTTTCATTTTAGCAACACCATGGTGCACTCAATTCCTATAACGAACATCTCTGTTGGAGTCGACGGTATAGTTCATACGGTGAGATGTATTTACAATTTAATTCATAGTTTATAATTTAAGTAGTAGGTAGGTACAAAATCTTCTTTGTATTGGGGTTTCGGAGATTTAGGGATTGGGGGAGGGAACAAGGATTGGGTTGTTACACGCCGGTTTTTTTGTTAGTTAGCTATTCACTCCGGTTGAGCCGGCCCATTCGTGCTGAAGTATGGCTCTTCCACATGACTGGTATAGAATGCCAATGGCATTAAGTCCAACGTACTTGCAAAGGTATATCAAAAATAATAGCTTTATCAACCGAGTTTGCTATTATTGTTTTATTTTTCATGGCCAAGGCCGGATTTGAGGGAACTACGAGTCGAGGCCAAGTGCATCTTGCACACGTCTCAATTTAAGTTAGGGCTTAGAAATGAAAATTTCTTACGATATGATAGGTGTTTAAAATCGCACCTTTCTTACAATATTTTAAATGGAATCAGCTTTCTTACAATATTTTAAATGTAACCCGCTTTCTTACAATATTTTAAATGTAATCAGCTTTCTTACAACATTAAAAATGTTTAATCCTTTGCTGACTGCTTTAAATCTACCTAACAGTATGTAGATACCCTACAGTTGTGACAGCTTGACAGATAAAAAAATTACCACGTATCTACACCAAAGTTACTCACAATCATTCGAAGCAAAGAATAAGAAGATACTTACGAGCATTCACACTATTCCTTTATTCAACAAAGCACTGGAATAGTTCCCCCACGGGAATTTCGGCTTCCTACCATAAGCTAAAAAGCGAGAATCTCTGGAGATGTTATACCTAACAGGAAGGTTAAAAAGGTGTCACTTATTCTAAAACTACCTTTTGCACGCGACTTTGTTCGCGTGGTCTAGCTCCTCCGGGATAATAATCTAGCAGGTTCCTTTGTAGGAAAGTAGGAAAATCATCAAATGACCGCCCTCGGTGAAGAGGGAGAGTTCATACATACCTACTGACTAAAAAACCTTGGCTATTCTCCTGTCCCGGGTAGGTACCTACATTATTGCACTTCCTCCGACAACTCTGGCTGATTCAATAGCTCCCTGCAACTTGTTAAAACTTAGGTACCGAAGACTTGGATACTTAGGTATGTGAGATTAATAAAAGATGCAGATAGGTATGTGGCCAGATGCAGGCAGTATTGTATGTTAGTAAAACATATTTGGATATCAAATTACCTACTCACAGAGTATTGAACCCGATACTATTCACGTTTCTACTCTAATTAGTTCATGGATTGTGAAACTTCAGTTGAATAAAATAGTTCTTGGAAGATGAAATGCTATCGAGTCGAGTATGTGGGTGGTATTATTAGGATTACTGATAACTGTTATACCTACCTAATAGCAGTATCTATAGACAGATCCGTCCTCTTAGGACTTATACAAATGAGTACTTATCTACGGTATTTATTGACATACCTAGGTACTTTAAAAGTATTATCTAATATTACCTGTCTAGTCGGTTCTTGATAGATGTAAGTATTAAGTAGTGATAATTAGGTAGATACGTATCTCAGACCGCAGCCACTCATTGTGTATATAAGTATAATTGTTGCTTAAAGTTTAAGATCTTTGGGGCGAGAGGAAGTGTCAGACTCTTATTGACTAAATACCACCATGTTCCTTGGCCTGTTCCTAGTATCTATTATGGCACCGGTTGATAAATTGGTCCTGTAGCGGCTATTTATTTAATCTCGCGCTTAATTTTGTGCTTTATTCATTTCATCCGTTTATGGACCCAGTCGAGCAAGCAGTCTCGGGTTACATTTTCAGATAGGGGAAATTATTGGGTATTGTTGACTATTTCTGTTTTTTGGAAATGTCAACTTACGTACCAGGATTTTAGAATTATAATGATCAATTAGAAGACCATTCCTACTGCACACGGGTGTTTTAATTTCTTACGACAAACAACGAAATGGTAGGTATTTCCCGATTTCCCCATCAAATTTTATCCTAAAATTTTCTTTTATTGCAATCTTCTCCTATTACATACACGGAAAAAAGCAGAATCAGCGAGATCGATTAAGATATTTTTATATTAAAGACAGAAGAATATATGCGTCCTTGTCTTCCTAGCACTCCAGCAATGAAGGGCGACTGGTAAACTTAGCACTGCAAGATTAATGCAGCTATTTACTTATCTCTCGAGTGTCGGATGGAGGATGGTGCCATTGTATCACCAAGTAGAGTTAATACCCTGCTATTGTTCAAATATCCTTCACGCTTATGACCCTTCAAGACATTGGCAGACATATTTTTAATGACTAGGTACTGAAGTACCGTTGCCAATGTATTCTATAATGGGATGCTATTGATGATGATTGTGCCAATTTGTTATCGAACTGATTCATACGAGTAGCGGTCAGTGTGTGTGTGTGTGTTTGTTTACAAACAACTTTAGATATAACAGATGACTTGGACTCATCTGTTTTACGAAGATTTTAGTTGTTATAAATACAAATCAAGGTTGAACCAGTTACATATATATTTTTTAATGATACACATTTTAATAACACTTCTAACCTCAATTCCTGACTGGTCATTTGCGTCATACGTCATATTGCTGACATACTAAAAATGCAAGCGTTGCATTGGCTGGGTAAAGCAATCACACAGCGATAAAATTGTCGTACACTATTGTAAGTGAACCCATGGTGTAACCTCGAATATGAGCCAGTGTCGATGTTCTTACAGTGTAGTGTGCACTCAGGTAGGATATTATACATTAATAAGTAAGTAAGCATATTTAAAGTTCCTATTATTTACTTACAAAACGTTCTTGAACCAGCTTACAATGCCACAGATATGTACTGACTATATAGGACTAAAAATACGTCAATATCAACCTTTTAGAAGTCCTAAATTGCTGAGTAGGTAATATTTCTACGAAAAGAAAACTAAATATGTAGGTATGTATAATTATATGTGTACCATAAAATAAGTCTACAACACGACCGATTTTTTATTTTAACCTTTGACTATTTTTAGATTCCATATATAACCGTTTAAGTTACCTTAAAATTAGTTACAACTACTTCATTTTAACTGGACAAACTGCTTCAACCTTGATTTGTATGTATTAGCCGACTATGTAACAAGCTATGTACATTTCGCACTCACTTGCTAATAGATCTACATTTACTCAGCCGTACCTAATCATCACACTTGTAGAAAACCTGTGATAAAGTGGCAACAATAATACTGCCATAAAAATTGCACGGTTAGCCCAATAACGTACCGCGGTCTCGGCCTAGACGGGGGAAGGGGGGGCGGGGGGGGGGTTAGACAGTAAGAGTCTGATACTCCCTCGAGTCCAGTCTTATGATGATTTTCCCATCACAAATGTTATCATATTAATGTATGTAGATAAACAACTAACCACCGAAAGGACTATCTAATAGTTGGAACCGTGACTGTCAAAAACTAATTAAGTATATCAAATTGTTTTTGTCATTTAATACTTTTTTATTTCCAGCAAGTAGGTATTCCCACAGACATTATAAGTATTGCATGCTTGCGCTTGTAGAGTACCTATGCATTAAATAATACCTAAAAGAAAAAGTATATGTATGTTATTTTGGGCATAATGATACATGAATATGAGCCCCAAACGTGACTCGAAGCCGGTCGGGTTACCTCGTTAAAGTTAGCTACGTACTTTTGCTGTTACACAGAATGAACCTGTTATGACTAGAATTAATGTTGGCCTTATAGTAAAAAATTGTTTACCCCGCTTACGCATGTCTTCTAACCCTAGGTGCCTGATGGAGATGACGCACAGGACAATGAGAGGAAGGGAAACGTTACGTACGGCATCGATGACATACCGCCCTGGTACTTGTGCATCTTCATGGCTCTACAGGTTTGTTGATATATCCACCTATCTATCTGTCTATCTAAAAATGAAATATATTAGTTATTTTTGATCGGAGAAGGATTTCATTGAAATTCAAGGAGGCGATATGTTTGCCCAGTTGCCAGTGATTCCTTGAAAGGGATAATATTTCGGTTTTCTTATTACGAACACAAGCTCAGATATTTCAGTTGATGACTCATAATTAATAAATAAAAGATTGTTATCCTAACTTTGAACGATGTATAATAGAGTTCAGTACAGCATCATGCCAGTAATTAACGAATGTTTTTGATTCAGTTATCTGTATTGATAAAGACAAAAGCATAATGAGGTTTGTACGGCCATGTTTGCGCCGGACAGGCCCGCCTGCGGCGCTGTGGTCGCCCGTGCAATTACCTTCTCGTACCTGATGTAGCCCTGGTAGCGAAGTTTCATTTATAAAAAATTTATATAAATTTTGATGCTGAATTTATTGGGGATGTTTTCAATTTGTATTTCTTATTATCTATTGCTTGATGATAAGTATTATGTTTGGATTTAAATTAATTTGGAGCAATATCTGTAGTACCTGCCTAGTCTGAATACGTTTCAGTCGTTATGTATATAAAAAATAGAGTAAAACTACTTTGGTACTATTTATGAACAATCAAAAATTACTATCAATTTAAATCATTCATACAGTTTTTTAACAACTTTAACAACCAGGCCAGACCACATTCTTTTTCACGACACTTTGATTAATTTCCATACAAACTACTGTTTTCAATTACTTAGATAATGTTCTAAAATATTATAAGTATATTATTTCGATATTTCCAGCACTACCTGACAATGATCGGTGCTATAGTGGCGATCCCGTTCATCCTGTGCCCGGCGCTGTGTATGTCGGAGACAGACCCCGACCGCTCCAACATCATATCCACCATGATATTCGTAACTGGTATGTAATTATTGTTTTGTTAGGGCTAAAAGGGAGGATTGGGCCTCCGGTAGCCTCGCTTATACGTCGACACTATTACGTGAAGCCGTGGTATCACTCTGGTCGAGCCGGTTTGTTCCCGGCGAAGCATGGCTCTCCCACACTTAAGCTACTGAATATTTACTATATAAGCATCCGAGTGCCAATGTACTCACAAGTAGGGCAATGTAAAATGCAGCCAAACTTCAAGCAATCTATCACTGCAGCTAGTTGCGTGGGTGTTCGAGTTCATACCTCGGGGGGTGAAGTTCGGTGTCTCCATTTTCCTTGCACTACTTACATAGTAATAGCAGTTTGGTACTGCATCGTAATGTTTGCTTTCAGCTCATGATTAGGAGGTTTAGTGATTGAGGCGTGGTTCGTGAATATGCTGCAGTGACCACTCAGCATAAAGTTTAAATATAGAGTACCTACACGAATAGGAACATTCTTTTTGTAAGGGGAAAACCATCTAATATCTTCTCTCGCTCAGGATGAGGAGAGAGGGATTGTCAGCCTCTTACTGACTAAAAACCACCCTGTTCCTTCTCCTGCTTTAGGCTGAGGCCGCGGTACCTTATTACGCTTACCTCGCAAACCCAGTTAAATATCAGCCTGTTGGGCCTTATCTGTGGTGGTATATTGGCTCTTTGAAGCGCGCGCGGAACGCTACGCGCCTTACTAGGTACCGTGGCTCGCCGTCCGTAGATCCGCGGTTACAGGAACATTGAGATGTATTCTCTTTGCTTATAAAAATAAAATGTGTCATTTAACATAATAAGTTTGGGAGAGCCATGCTTTGGCACGAATGGGTCGGCTCGACCGGAGTGATACCACGGCCTCACAGAAAACCGGCGTGAAACAACCACAACGTTGTGTTTCGCCGTGTGAGTGAGGTTACCGGAGGCCCAATCCTTCCCCTACCCCAATCCCTAAATCCCCAAAATCCCAATCCTTAAAAGGTCGGCAACGCACTCGTAACTCCTTCTTTGTTGCGGGTGTCCATGGGCGACGCCGATTGCTTACCATCAGGTAATCCGTCTGCTCGTTGGCCGTTCCTAACACATAAAAAAAAATAATCATAAAAAAAATAATAATAAAAAAATGACGATAAAGGCAAAACTCAATAACGTCTATAGGTACTACTTTTGTCGATTATTTTTTGTTGTGTTTGTTAAAGTGAGGATAAGGTGCTTAAGACAAAAAAATAATTATCGAAAAATGGAGTGGAAAATAGGGAAGCAATGACGTTTTTGTCGTTAGCGAGATCTTCGGGCAGCCGTGCCAAACAGGGTTTCTACTTGGTTATTTACAGTCTGAAAGGACATTTATTAGCTAATGTAAACGCAACAAACCAATGTACTTATACTTTATTATTTGCTAACTTCATCAGTACCTAAGGCTTTATGGGCACAATATTGACGATACAATGACGTTGATCTTGTACTTGAAATTAATACAGTTGTCAATGATAAGACAGTTATAGCACAGATAAGTAGGTATCAACCGTTACTAAGCAATTGCATTTTATGGAACCATAAACTGTCTGTTGGTACAACGTCACTGTGCTTATTTACAAACAAGGAATTTTGTTTAGGTATCTTTAAACATTATATACTATTATATAGATAGATTAGGTACATACTTGAAGATCTTTTGTATTTAATTTGACGATTTTGGTCGGGTTTTGTTTAAATATTTACGTTTTCAGCTATATTACATAGTTATGGAACTCTGTTAAAATATGCTTAAATACTGATGGTAGTAAGCTGCTAAAATAAGTAAATGATAGTGTGTGGTACATAAAAATGAGAGACGCATTTTGAATTTTAGAACTACATACTTAAGATTCACTTTTCAATTTACTCGCTAGTCCCGCTGGTCGACTCCTATTGGTCGCAGCAATAAATAATTAGACCATTCAACATGACCAGAATAAAATAGTTTAATTCAAAATAGTTATTCCGTAGAGAGGCTCGTTCAAACAAATAAACTCCTAAGTAAGCCTTATTATACTTATTAGTATAGATTAAACTGATAAAAATATGTACTAAAATGTTTTCCTACTAATCTTTGTTTACATTCATAAAACTCTTATAAAGCGTAGGAATGCGACAAACAGATTTGTCAAACGTTTCCAAATCTTTGTTGCCTTATCACAGAATTACGTGTAATCAAGAAAATCCGTGCCTTTACAATTTTCAATTTAGAGTTCAATGCGAGAGTGTGCGAGAGCTGACACCGTACTGCTAACAATACTTCGCAGAACAATGGACGCGCAATCAGGGTGTAATTTGAAACGATTTGTTTCCAGCTAAACTGATTGCGCTTCCGTTTCTATTGAGGGGGTGGGTATGGTCAGAGAAATTTAAACTTATCAATTTCAATTCGCGTTTTACCCTTCGAAGAGGTAAGAGTACCTACCTAAATATAAGTTTTTAAATCAAATTCATCAGCGATATGCTCTCAGTTAAATAATGAGTATAATCAAAAGACGCCTTTAGTAAAAATTCCTCTCGGAAAGTATCTGTCTGCCATTATTTATTCAGTTCGAACACGTGTCATCCTTTCTTGTGACATTTGCGCCTGCGCCTAAAGGTAGTTTTTAAATGTAATTCTACGCGATGATTTAAAACTTCTTTCATGTGTCCAAATCAGTGTTTTAAACATTATTTTCACATAGAAATGGAGGTGGTCAAAATAGCCGATTTGTACTTATCCGTGAAGGGCTTGTTCTTGTAAACTGAAACGTTGACCACGTATGCACTACCTACTGCCCATTAGACATAAGAATGATTTCGTCAAGTCACTGAAGCTGCGATAATCCCTTTGAAAAATAAAAAAAATAAATGAATTTTTGTAACAGTCTTGTCATATTTTAATAAACAATAGGTACTTACAATGAGAATTCAACCAATCTGAGAACTTTCATTTGTTTTGTGGAATTCGAAAATTGAAAGTTCTTTATTAGGTATGTTTCTTTTTTATTTGCGTTAGTTTACGAGGTTGGCTACTGACACGACTTAAGTACACAGCCTAGTAGCCATTAGTAATCGAAATGTTGGTAGGTATACAATATTCAATTTAAATTATAAGTATCTACCTGCATCGTCTTATCGTGTTCTATCATCTTCAATAGACGGATAGATATCTCTTATGATCCTGACATGTACGGGTGTTTACTATATGACATTAAACTACACTTGTAGGTTCACGCCTCACCTATCTACATATAGGTAAGTACTTATACACAGATCCATATAATATGCATTAGGAATTCAGTAGATGCAAAAATAATTCAAATATGATATTAAGTACATTTCTCCAAGACTCCGACCGCATCGTTGTTGTTGAAATAAGACGTTACAAACGCCTGTAGCGAATGTAATAGCAACATGTAGTCGGACGGAAGTGATTTGCTCTTGTATAAGTCATTAAGAGAGATGTTACATTTTATAGTTTTAGTCGCAGTCGCAATTTTTACTATTTTTATCTTTTGTTCTGGAGTCAATCGCTGGTTTATGTATAACTGTTCTCTGATACAATTAATTTGTTTTACCTTTATGTAGGAATATTTTTCTGTCAATAATAGAATGGAAAAATCTGATGCAGAATTGCAGCCATTGGTATTTATTTCACTTTAGGTTGTAGTTAATATGGTTTATTAACTATATGTTAAATGCATTGGAAATCAACGTCTATATGAAATTAAATTTAACTGATAAGAAATTAAGTTAAAATTCGATGTAACACATAAAACAAAACAAAAACGATTTAAACATTACTAAAAGTTAATTCCTCTTTGGAGATGCTGGGATTTGAACCCAGGACTTTCAGCATGCGAAGCAGACACTCTACCACTGAGTTACATCCCCTGTTGAAACTGTGATCGTAATAACTGTTCCAAACATACATTGATATCTGTTTAAAATTCAGCCGGCGACTTTCACCGCTACCGCCGCTGGCGAGGTGAACTCGTTGTTAGTACCTATTGGTACATATGTATTTCTGCACATACCTACATTTTAGCTGCATAGTACTGTTTTGAGTTTCCAATAAAGTTTTTGCCAACATATCTGAATAAGGTGCATTGTGCTTTTCTGCCCTATAATTAATCGATTACCTACCTTAAAATTACTTTTTTTTAATGGGTCGGCAAACCAGCAGACGGATTACCTGATGGTAGGCAATCAGCGCCGCTCATGGACACTCGCAACGGAGGAGTTACGAGTGCGTTGCCGACCTTTTAGGGATTAGGGATTTGGAGATTTAGGGATTTAGGAGGGATTGGGGGAGGGGAAGGATTGGACCTCCGGTAACCTCACTCACACGGCGAAACATAACGCTGTGGTTATTTCACGCCAGTTTTCTGTGAGGCCGTGGTATCACTCCAGTCGAGACGACCCATTCGTGCCGAAGCATGGCTCTCCCACACTTGTACTTTTTAAATGCTGTTCTTTTTTAGAATATTATGAATATCCGTTGTTCTTCTAAGACTGTAAAGAAAATACTTGTGAACAAAGACAAATAAATTGCAATTACTATCTTGAGTAACTATTATTACCCTTTTCCAGGTCTAATAACATGGTTACAAGCAACATTTGGCTGTCGATTACCCATCGTCCAAGGTGGAACTATCTCCTTCTTGGTGCCCACTCTTGCCATCTTGAACCTGCCTATATGGCAATGTCCTCCGGCTCAGGAGATTATCAGCATGACGGATGAGGAGCAAAAGAAGCTCTGGATGAGTAGGATGTGTGAACTGTCAGGAGCTATCGCGGTGTCTGCACTGTTCCAAGTGTTTCTTGGTGAGTTTTTGATCATAAGTTGTCACTATCCCGAACCAATGAAGGTTGCTTTTAAAGAATTGCCCAATTTTTGATAGTAATATATCTAGATTATGTCCCGCAATGAGGGCAAGGCAGCCGGAGACCTTTATTTTGGGCTGACCGCAATGCCTTCTGCAATACTAACGAACCAATGAGGCTCTGAAGGAGCAAACAAGGCAAAAATAAACTGATAAATTGTATCAACTATCTTAACCGAAATTGTTTGAAAAACTTGTATACTAGTGGGTGTATAAGTTTATTAGGTACGCTGCGTATCAAACGGTGAAAAATTAAGTTACCAGTAACACACGTACGTACTAAGTACAGCACATGACAACAAGCAGAGCCTCAAAGAATGTTTTCGACCTGCCCGTAATACAATTGTGACCCAAACAAGAATTTAATTAAACCGAAGCGGACAGTTTTTGCTAACAAAGTAATAAACTAATAGGCTGTTCCGGGAGACGGAGCAAAGAGTTTTTACATCGCGTCATTCGTTGCCATAGAGTATGGAGGTCTGGAGTACCCACGGAATAGAACTGTTCTGTGGGAGTACCATCTGCATAAGTTTTCATATAGTTAGCAAACAACAATTTTAGATTGTGCTATTTTAGTTTGCAACTTTGCTTTTCTTTACAAAAAGTATTTAAGTAGTCCACTTGGGTATAAGTTAATGGGTTCTTAACCCTTTTAGCCCAGTGAGAATTCTTACATGCATACTTACTTTATAATATACTTTAATGAATTTTATTTGGGTTCTGTCCTCAAAAGAAATTGCAGGTATGACTGGCAGGTAGGATATGACTAGGGCTCCGTTGTCCATCTGTCTTTTTGTTATCAAACAGTATCTCATGAACCATGATAGTTGGACAGTTAGGATTTGGACTGGTAGGTACTAATATATGTATACTTTAACCTAATTCAAACAAAATGTAAAATGAAAATAAATCTTATATTAGAGTATGAATTCCAAAACGTGATTTTGTTAAATACGTGAGTCCAACTCGGACTTGACCAGTTTTTCATATAACACATAGTATCCTCCTTAGCACTATACTCCATGGTACGTAACTAAATAATGCCGCCATGTTGGCGTGTTCCCGCGCAAAATAAACTGTGGCCAATGTGAGCGCTGCTTTGACGCAATACTTTTACTTTTTAAAAGCGCTTTCTCATTTACCTTCGCTTAGTTTTCATAGAAACTTTGTCAGGCGCTTTTCATTTTCTCCGTCGAGTAAGTAGGTAATAAAGTAGTTGATAGAAATGTTTTGTTGTAAAATATTGCTTATTTATAGTTATTTGTGAACTAAGCAGTCTGCTTTTTACAATAAAATTAGTGCTACAGAACTTTTTGTAGTAGGTACTTATTGTAAAATTCTATTAAGTAAAAGATTTTTTATTAGGATAAGTCGGATTTCTAACAAGCGGGTCACCTGATGATAATCAACAGCGCCCAGGGGCACTCGTTGCAACAGAGGAGTTACAAAAGTGTTGTCCGCCTTTTGTGGATTTAAAGATAGGGGATTTGGTGTTTGAAGTTAAGAGGGGAAGAATGGAGCGTATGGAGACCTCATTCACATAGCGAAACAACGTTAGTCAAGTTTCATGCTGGTTCTGTGAGGCTGTGGTATCATTCCGGCCGAGACACAACATTTAAAGGTTACCGCAAAACATAGCGTTTCTAAAATTAAATTCAGAGATTTCGATAGGAATTGCAAAAAGTTATCTTGCTATGGGCCTTATACCTAAAGAAGGTAGGAAAGGAAGCAAATAGAGGCCTCATACCATTATGATCGCTATACACAATTGTTTACGTCTCATTTTCCTAGCCCATAATACTTTCATATACACACAAATAACGGCTACAGATAATATTCCACTATCTATGTCAAGCCATGTAACTGTCTCTTGAATCTTGAGATTCTAAGTCAGGCTTACAAGATGCTGGATCAATCAGTTGACCTAGATTGTAGACGACCTATTTCTAAGGCAGTAAGGTTGGTAATACCAAAGCAGTTAAGGTTCCATATTGCAGTGTTCCTTCTGTGCAATCTTGATATAATCGATCTATGACGGATAGCATCAAAGCGATTACGGGACGAGATATGAAAGACATACTAAGTTTAAATTGTAATACGTTTTCTTTATTGTTGCTAGTGAAAGTTCTATACATACTTATTTTTTTGTAAAGTATAGGTATGTGATCTGTGTCCATTAATAGTCACCAAAATGGTGTAGTATTTCGAAGTGAAAATTTTAAGGACAGAGGAAACATATAGGAGATAAAAAAAACAACAAATAACCACAACATTTTCATTCACACCATCGTTCATAAATTTTAAAATGCATCTTAAATTATGAGAAAAATCTAAAAAAAAATACTTTTGGTGGAAAACCGAGGAAAAAACCTGCAATACATTTTAAGCTTCCTTTGATTAGACACAAAATGAGAAAAAAATCTCTTTACTCTTTCCCTGTCCAGGTTACTTCGGAGTAATAGGTTCGTTGCTGCGGTTCGTGACACCCCTGACCATAGCTCCTACAGTGGCGCTGGTGGGGCTGACGCTGTTCGAGCATGCAGCCGAGGCAGCTTCTCAGCAATGGGGGATAGCGGCCGGGTGAGTTTTTGCAAATTGATTAGCTTGCTTTATTCTTTATGTGTTTTCTTCTGACTTGTAGTCTTCTTCTGACTTTTGATGACGACAATGATGATGAATGGAACATTCACAGTTTGTGTAAGATGTTTGAAAGTAGAACTAACAGTCAACACACTGAACTTTTCACGAATGGACGGCTGAAACGACTTTGTATTTGCTCCAACGCTCTTGGATCATACCAAAAGAGATTATTATTGGAGTATAAGCATTGAGGAGTTGCCGGTTTTTATGTTCTTAGTAATAGGTGTATTTTTTAGTCTGTGCTGTAGCTAAACAGATTATTAATAATAGTCCCGTCGCCTTGAATCTAGTAAAGTTTTTCTAGTTACTTCACATGAGAAAGTCAGAATTGCCAAAATTAGAGGTTAACTAAAGAAATGTTGTGTAGGGAATGTATGTTTTATGACACACATCCCACATTCACATAGAACACATCAAAGGAAACGTTCCACTGGCAATCTCCACCTCAATTACATAATACGTATAATTTCCAAATTAAGCCGGATGTAGGCTACAAGGACGGCAATCTCAGAAGAAAACATCAATTTGATATCAACGTCACGAAGTTGGCCGCATTTCTTAAAGAGGCTATTGTGACAAACTTGTCTGGACTGTTTATTTTGAATAGATGAGATGACGCCATACTTCCTCTTAAGGAGAATTATCTCAGCTAGGACCTTGAGTCAAATCGAGTTCGACAATGCTATTGAGATTTTTGGGACTTTTCGAGAATTATTTACTTATTGCATGGTTTCTGAATATACTAAAGTAAGTGTATCATTTATAAACTATGACATACGTTTATACAGGATACTTTTATTTTCTAGAGACGTCCTCAGAGAATAAAGGTAAAGACGAAAGTAGTTTATTGTTTTCATACTTAGCGTTAATCGTTGTAGTCTCATGAGATCCTAGTACCCCAGACAGGATTATTAGGTTCAGCAAGTTCAAAAACGGTGAATAGACAAATAAATGGTTTAAAATGGTTTTGAGTCAAAGTTATTCCGCTCTGTTATCTTCTTAACTTTATGATTTAAGTTTCTTTGGGTTTTGTACCTATATTTATGTGGGCTGGAATGGTTAGAACAGAACACACTATGTACACGCAACGAGATAATTTTAAACGAATGATTAATGAATAAGTACATTATCAAAAGTACTCCTCATTTGCGCTTAAAATGATTTATTTAAGCACGATATTCATGGCCTTCTAATATCTATTGGGAAAGCTTTTACGCATACGATTTTCTTAATTACCTTCGCTTAAATTAATTAATTAGTTGGGAAACCAATTATATCCCCTATACAATGTGAGCGTGTATGTGTTAGGGAGTGCGTCAGGTGGGATTCGCGAAATGTTTGTACCAGGATCACAGATTACGTAGAATGTCAAAGGTGAACGTACGTACAGGCTCCATCGATTTGTATTGCTAGTTATCACTGCCCGGCCGATATAGGGCGATGTGTTCCACAACTTGTTGATTGATATGTTGAGCGGAATGTCAGTTACTGAGAATTGTTTGGTTGGTTCAGATTTTGTTATTTTTGTGCTGCCGCTTCTGCTTCGGAATACAGTATTCGACAACCAATCAAATTAAAAAATGTCAATACGATATTTTTCTATGAATTCTGTATGCGTCACTGGGTAGTGACTCGTGACGACATCATATTTTTACATCGAATAGCAGCTACAGAACACATATCAATAAAAGTACTAGAAAAAAAATCGCAAAGGAAGAATACCGTCACGATAATAAATGTAATACGATAATCTAATATTTAAGTTGTACAAAGGGCCTCTGCGAGTTGGATTCGGCTCCTCGTAAGCCTTTCAAATGTCCGGGACCCTGTGGTCCCGTAAATGGAAAGGGACATACAATTTAATAAAAGTAGTAAAAAGTTCAAACACTTTTTTCGAAATACCCTAAGTGGGTTGTTTTTTTAGCTATTAGCTAAACATCTGCATGCTTATTCGTTTTTATTTTTCAAATATGTGTGAATATGATCTTATTATTATATTTTCGCAAGCAATAAGTTTTAACCCATTAGAATGTCGTTCCAGAACATGAAAAGCTTGATACAATGTTTTAGTCATAACTTAAGTCGTTACAAAATACCAGGACAGCAAGAGTATGACGTACATATTTTTATGAAGTAAACTAACTTATGGAAGGGCTGCACGAGGCGACTCGGCTAATAGATTATCCGGACAGGGCGATCAGGGGCGAGCCGGCCCGGCTAACCTTATTACCGTCCATGCTAATGGAAAACTTACTATACTCCAAGACACTAGAGTTTAATGTTTGTTACACTTTTTATTTTGCATAAATTGGTATGGCAATAATCTTCTGGCAGTATTCTTGTTTCAGTTTATTTATTAAAAGTAATAACAAATATTAATATTCATAAATATTCTGTTTGCGTTGTTATTCTTTTTCCTGCTATGACCTTATTGTCGTAAGAATAAAATGCTATTCCTAAAGGCATTGGAAGCCAATAGACCACCACAGACGGGACCCTATAGGGCTGGTGTTCAGCCGAGGTTGCGGGGTAAGCGCAATGAGGCACCGCGGCCTCGGCCCAGAGCAGGAGAAGGAATGGGGCGTTTTTAGTCAGAAGGAGTTCCTTTTTTGTCATCGGAATATCATCAATAAATTATATTCCGATGACAAAAAAGGCCTTGGAAGTGAAATCGCTCTTGAAGTTTTAATTTTATTTTCGATCACAACAATCTTACTTTCCAGTGCGTTTACCTTGATATTATGTGGGAGTAGTACCAGGATTACATGACTCTACCTGTATGTAGTATCTTAAGCTATTGTCTACCTCTTAAAAGGAAAAAGGATTTATGGTATATATGGTTAATAATTGCAAATATAAGACCTAACTGCTAAAGATGTCCATTATTTATTTATCTTTTAAACATTTTTACTTCTTAGTTACTTATTTAGCTCCTGGTCACAGCAATCCCCAATGAATACTTAATAGTTACAAAGAATAATTTCGTCTAATGAATAGTTATCATATTATTGTTTCCGGTCACCTGGAGCCACCATTGCTCACTTGTTGATACACGCACTTAACTTAGAGTCTTTGCAACTAAGTAGGTAGTTTCAGCAAGTTTTCATCGCTCATAAATGAAAGGCTAGAATTTCCTTTGTAATTTGTTGCGATAAGCTCGGGCACGGTTTCTTTCAGATTGCTGAAAGATCCAATTAATTTATCAAAGAGAAAATAGCTAATTTTTTGTATTTCTTTGAGGTAAACATGCTAATGGCTCGATGGAAAAGAAGTATAATTGGAATGGCATAGTGTGATTATGAGACTGCCTGAGAATGGTAATGTTTTACATTTGTTTTAATAATAAGTATTATTTATGCTACTACATACCCTTTTGCATTTTAAATTACTAATATTACGTATGACCAATAAATGATTTTACTTGCTATCTTTCTATAAATATGCATTTCCTTACTTCAGAAATAAAAACTGCGAATGAACATCCTTTTCCGATTCTTCAATTCTTTCATATCCCCCCAAAACGTCTTTGTCGGTGCTTCCGGTACCAGGATATCATAAATGTGAACACGTAGGTCGAACGAGGTGAGCGGTCGTCGTAGCAACCGGGTCGCCGGCCTCTCCTGGCTGCAACAAGTGCGCTATTGATTTCATCTGCATTCAACATGGGCCATTATGTTGTATTTCACATAATAGTGAAATATTTAAAAGCTTACGTTGGTTAATGAAGTAATCGCACTACAATATAAAAAAATAACTATACCAAACTCATTTCAAAGTAATAGTCTTTTTGGTCGTGTCTTCATAAGAAACTTATTTTTTACTTAACGTTTAATTAAATTATCTGTTTAATGAAACGAATGAAAAATTTAATAAAAAAACATGCTCTAGTTCGTAACTAAAATGTTGCTAGTTACTCTGGGCCGTACGCATATTGTGTTTTAGGAATACTCTCTATCACTTCTGGGGTCGTGGTACAATGCGTTAGGTTTTTTTTGTGCCCGCACTGAAATGAAAATAGCTGAGGGAGATGCCGATCTGGGGACACGCACATACCTAAATGTAATATTAAATCAATACCAGTCAAACATCAATCAAATTAACTTTTTCCATCAAATGTTCTCGTTTACTTTTGATTTGATTTAAAGTATTTTACCGTTCATCGTTCATCTCGGTAAATAAATCTACAGTAGAGAAATCATGACATGTCAATGTCCGCGCAAGTAAGTATATAATATCACTAGAGATTTAACAGAATACCTTATATTCTCTGGAGACAGCAATACTACAGTACACAGTAAAGAATGGCTGGTTGGATGTAAAATATGTATGTAGCAATGAAAGTACTGCAGCAAAGGACTTCAAATTGTAGTATTTAGATGGACCAATATTTTATTTTGTTCACTGTAGCAATTTCTCTGAACTATTTGATGCTTTATTTGACAATATATCAAAAATCTTAAAAACTAGGTCAAAGTTCGTCGTATTATTATTTGAGCAATGTTATTAAATTTTCGTATGAAGCACGAGTTATTTGACATCCAATGTGTCGCTAATTAGGTATGGCGGCGCTATTGAGTCGCGCAATGTTATCAGTTAATTAGCGACTATAAATAATGGACTAGCTTTTGGCAGGATAATAACGGTTTTATGTATCTATTTCTAGACACAAATTAGTGTCAAACTTTAGTGTATACTTAATGGTTAATGGTGGATGGTCTGGGAAATTACTCCAGGCTTCTAATTAATCATGGTTTTATGAGCATTGATTTTAGGCCTGATCAAGTTTGGGATTATGCCCAGTGACATTGGAATCTTGTTTTATGGGTTTGTACTTAGGGTCGTGGTGGCTTGCATGGTGCATGTATATGCATGGGGGTGTAACTTTGAAATAGTACCAATAGTACCAATATGAGTCCATTGTCATTGTCCATTGACATACCTACCGCGGAACTTTACGAGAAAACTAAAAATTTTTAATTATAAGTTTGCAATCGCCAAATCCCCTTGAGCAAGCGTGGTGTTTCATGCCCATAACTGTGTGAGAAGAGGCCTTTCTCAGAAGTAAGCTTTTATAGGATAATGATATTCTATTATTTGTAGCACTAGTTGACTTGAAGTCAATGTTTGTCAGAACTCTCACAACTGTAATATGTAATTTATATTCCCTTAATTACATCCAGCTAGCCGGTAAGTTCAGTACTAAGCGATCCTCTTAATTTATAATTTAAAAAGATTATGATCTAAAGTCCTTTGGCAACTGTAATATTACTTTAGAATGGAAAAGCGCTTTGCATATAATATGTATGAACGCGGAGTGCATTAACCCCGTAGTTTATATTGCTCTTAACTCGACTAAGTGTAATATAATAAGATACATGTATATGCTTTTTAATTTAAACACTTTTACATTTTTGACTAGTACGAAGTTCAAGCAGGGTTTGAAAGATAAATATAATATAATATTAACTCGGCTTATTTTGAAAGTACTGTATAAATAACTAATTGCCAAATAGAATAAGTATAAAAAACATCTTTTAAGTGGAGAATTCCAGAAAACATTAGTATTTCTTTAGTTATCTTCTTTATATGGTATATGATAATATTAACAAACATGGAGTATTTTTATTGAACTTACATAGATTTTATTCAGTTTATTTGAACGCTTCTTCTCAAACATTTTAACACAGCTGTAACTTAGACTAACAGAGAATTAATACAGCAATTTACAAGCCCTGTCAGATCATGTTATCAAGTTATCAATAGCTTCTGAAACTTCTGCTGCCCTGGTACTTTCGTTCGTGTAATTCGAGCGAGTTCATTACGGATTACTCGGTTTCTTTGATCTTCGCCGTGTAATCGCGGCCATTTTGTAAATAAACGCACTTTAGCGGCAACTCAATTTACTTTGATTTTAAACCTTATCTAAAGGAATTTAGGCTGGATTTCCAAGCTGAAAATAGTTGTTGTTATTGAAAGGAGGTAATTAGATAGATAATTCAGTTTCTTATAATTTACTGGGTTTCTTGTTTTATTGTTTTTGATAATTGATTTGTTTTTAAGTGTTGGAACTCTTCCAAGTTATTCCGAGTTCAATAGGTACTTAGTAATTTTTACCATAATGCACTTTATACATTTCCACAGATGAGATCCAATAAATTAAACAATAGTCTGCCAACACAACTGCTAAAATACCAGGATAGCATAAAAAATGTTGCAGTATAATCAACAAATTAGAAAAAAGAAAAGTCTGGTTCAATCAATTGTCTCTAAAGCCTAAGAGCATTTATTGATAAAATTGAGCCACTCAAAGTTGATTCTCTTTTTTTCATCGACTCGATTGAAATCGCAATGGATTTGGCGCGAACTACGTTTTTGCGCAAAAAATGCAATATGGGGCTTGTTCGCTTATGGTAATATGATTAAGGGGAAAAATGAGATGCTTCGCTCGATAAGCGGGGCATGATATTATATTTTAGAGACGCAAGGAGCTGCAGCTGGGCTTGTTAACAAGCAAGTAAGCTTGTTGCGATCGATCCGGAGATAAACATTCCTGCAATATTGGATTTTTGTGGCCTAGATAGCGATATGCTATTAGATTTGAAAGACTTAAAAGTTGGGAAAAATATGCTTAGAAAATCGGTAGAAGTGGAATGAAAACAAAATTGCTTGATCTGATTGAATGCACTTCAAAGTTTTGCCGTATGAGTAAGGTTTCGAAAGCCCGGGAATGCACTCGTAACTCTTTTGGTATTGCGAGTTTCCATGGTCGGCGCTGATTGCTTACCATCAGGTAACACATATACTCGTTTGCCGTCTACAGTTCTTTTTCGATAAGTCATTAAGTAAGTACATGAGCTAGAATGTCAAAATAAGTGATTGGTATGAAACAAAGTCTGCCAATATGAAGTACGAAAAAATGTCAACGTGAACAGGCAATCATAACCCAACCTCATCCACTAGTGGTATTGGAGTGGGCGTCCATTGGTGCAACGCTCGCGATCTAGATTATGCAAGCACTGCTTTGTTCGCGCAAACAATAGTTCTTGCCACAAAGACCCAACCTACCAACATTGCGGCGGTATTCGATTTTTGATTTTTAAACATTCTGCCGTGGTATATTGGACGGTTTTTAAATTAGATGTCTTTCGTACAAAACCGAATTACAACTATATAGTTGCATGAGGTTTTATTTGTTAATATTTTGTTTTAAAACTGATGTGCTTTGGGTTAATCCTGGATTCGGCAAAGTATATTTTCGATTTTACGATAATTTCCTAGTAATACCACGGAGTTTGAAATTGCAATATACTCACCCCCAAATTGGATTACATGGAACTTATAATAGTGACAATCAGGTGTACGAGTATATTTTATGTGTAGCACTATGTGGAAATGTGGACCATCGGCAATTAAAGGGGTATTCAAGAAACTGTAAAAGTTCTAATAAGTCTATCACGAAACTAAAACTCATTCTAAATCTGAACAATTCGTTCTGTACACGAATCCTTACCGCGCACTTTAATCATTTCATCGAAACAATGCAATGAAGATGGCGATTGAGTGAGCGATGCAATCTCGTGATTGGAAATATTTGCCTTGACAGTTGTGACGCGGGGGCGGCAGGGCGGCGATATTCAGCGCGCGTATTGACTTCGGAATAACCACAGTTATTGATGAAATCGCGGGTTTTAGTATTGAAGAACAAGAGACCTAAACACCTTTCTTGTGTTAATGGAACATTATATTTTGTCATTTTTACTAGATAAGGTTGGTTGAGAAGTCCAACTAATCACTATATTATGTTTTTAGGGTTCACGTATGTATGTATGTAAGTGATTTTCGTTAATATTTTTTTAGTTATATCTATTTTAATAAGTATAGAGATGTATGTTACATATACATAGGATAAATACTATTTTTGGAAATAAAATAACCATAACGTATTACCATTTAAAAACAAAAAGTGAGATACGATCCATAAATGATATAACGTGGTAACCTACAAAGATATCAATGTTCACATCTGTTCGAGTTTCTCATCTATAGGCTTACGTTAACAATACGGCAGATGAATGTCGCGTAGAATAGAGAGGCAGGTGCTCACAAGACGTAGATGCGACTAATCTCTCCGCTTGAGTGCCAGCGACGCGTTCAAACGAAATCTTTTCTTAAACCTGATCAAAGGAACGTTCTAAATAAAATTCTAAATAGTTACTCGTACATACAATTTCAATGCGATATCGTAATTTTTTTTAATATAGTTCCTGTAAGCTTGTTGAGTCACGTTCCTGTAAGGCGTGGAAGCCAGCCTTTGCGAGTTCTCCTCGAGTATTGAGCTATCGATATTTCTTTGAATAAATTACTTTGTGGAGTTATTTGACGACTGAGATACGGACTTTGAGAGCTTTGAATACTGGTTCGTTAAGATTTAATTTCTAAGAATTCTTGATAGTATATAGTAAACATAGGAACCTCACACCAGCTCATCGATTAATTAATAGTGTAATTTGATTTTTTTTATTGGATTGATCGGTAAACGATCTCTCGGATCACCTAATGGCAAACAAGCATTGCTTATTATGGGCACCCACTCGTAACTCTTATAGTGTTTGTTATGGATTTGTGGATTGGGGATGTCTGGGAGGGAAAAATTAGGTCTCAGTTAACCTTATTAACGGTGTTCTAGGAGGCCGTGGTATCACTTCGGTCGAACTGGCCAATTGGTGGTAAAGCGTGGGTTCTTTACACTTAAAATAACCATCAACGTTTTAATTTGTTGCAGTACATTCACGCTGTTGACAATATTCTCTCAATGTATGACCAACGTTAGTATACCGACCCTTGCCTGGACGAGGGACAAAGGAATCACTATTATTTGGTTTCCACTCTTCAAGCTGTTCCCGGTAAGATAATTAACTTTTTACACTAACATTCAAGTCTTATGATTTTCATTTGAATAGGCCTTTGGGAAATCCTGCACGAGTTGTTTTTTGCCAAACCACTGCCGCTATTGTCAAGATTATCGAATAAAACCAGTTCAAGATTTTTGACGCTAAATTAGTTCCCCTTATTTGTTGATCGCCTGAAACTTTTTAGTAAGAACAAAATACAATGCTCATAATGTTTTCGAAGAAACCTTGTTGTTTACATCAATTTGTAACCATTTATAATTACTCGTATTTTAAGTACCTATTAATCTTTATACGTGTTTATTCCTAGGTATTGCTCACAATAGTAATAATGTGGGCACTGTGTGCTATACTGACGGCGACGGGCGTGTTCCCACCGGAACATCCCGCGAGAACTGACGTCAAACTGAACATCATTGAGGATGCGCCCTGGTTCCGTGTACCTTATCCAGGTATGACATACATTTTTGTTAAATACTTGAGTATAAAACATAATTTCAATAAATTAAATTACCTAAAAGAAATATTAATTTTGGTTAAAATGTAGATTACATTACGATCGTCCTTTCTGTGTTTTCCGCCTTAGATTTGGAACAACAATTTGTTTTACAGCGGTCTTTTGCGCAAAATATGCAGTTATTATAATGGATAGATAATATCATCACCTAATGTTACCAATCCAATGCCAATGGAGTAACGACAGAGATGCCATACTTTTGGGGCTAGGAAACTCAGGATTGGGGATTTAGGATAGAGGAAAAAGACTGGGGTTGTTGGCTCCCCGCACATAAAAAGGTATCGACTTGTGAAGGAAATAATGGAAAGAGATTATGTTCTGTGTAGGTCAGTGGGGAGCGCCAACAGTGAGTGTTGCAGGAGTGCTGGGTATGCTGGCCGGAGTGTTGGCCTGCACTGTGGAATCCATCAGCTACTACCCAACCACAGCCAGGATGTGCGGTAAGTATTGACAATTTTTTTAGGATTCTGGGTAACTGGGTCCCACAGCCTTGGGTTGACGAAGAAGAACGGGTAGTTATTGACAGCATGAGTCTGACACTCCCGCTCGCTTTATCTAGGGAAGTTTTTTAATGTTAGCCTTTATATGAAAAGGGCTTTATAATGGGATTGTGTATGGTACGTTATAGCAATAGTTACATTGCCGTTCAAATATAACTAGTGAGAACCAACCAGCTTTGTACTGTAGCGAAAATTAAGAAGACGATAATAAAATTATCAAAACCATTCGTTTTCCCCTACAGCGGCACCACCACCTCCCCTTCACGCCATCAACCGAGGTCTAGGCACGGAAGGTCTGGGCACAGTGCTAGCTGGCCTCTGGGGCTCTGGCAATGGAACCAACACCTTCGGGGAGAACGTAGGAGCCATTGGAGTCACTAAGGTAATAACTGCTTAACTACATATAATATACCACCATCCATACCATCAAACAAGTTCTGGGAAAAGTGCTAGAAGGCCTTTATAGTTCTGTCAATGTCACCTATAATTTTGGAAATATTATCAGGGGTCTTTTATTTTATTAACTATAATACTGTAGCAATAAATAACTTTGACTTTGATTTTGAATATCAATTTACCTAGATGAAAACAAAAGTCCAAGAATTCATTTCTATTATCAGATTTTAAGTCGGTTTTTGTGAGGCCATAGTATAAGATTTTAAGTCGGTTTTTGTGAGGCCATAGTATAAGTCCACTAATTTACGATAATCTAACTTGGTTAACTAACTAGAGATGTTAGATCATTGCCACCTTAATGTAAACACCAAGCAGCACACAATATGATTTTACGAATTCCATTTAGAATATTACATTACAGTTCTATCTGCCTTGAATTGCCAATTACAAGTTCTACCTACCGTCTTTACTTCGGTAATCGCTTCCCAAGTGCATTGTAAATTCCATTTTGTAGCTACTCCATCTAGGTACAGTTTCCTTTAATTACGGCTGGATAACTGCAGATAAGCTTGCATTTTATATTTTATGTTAATTTTCCCGTATTGTGTGCAAATGACAGGTGTTGGCGACAACGTGGTAGGTAGTTCGTCGATGTACAATGTGTTGTGGTGACACGTTCAAAAACAATGAAACATTTTGGATCGCGGATGATCCCATTTAATCCTGGATTGTTAAATATTACGTTAATGAGATTAATGTACGCGAAATGTTACAAATTCCAATACTCATGCTTATGTAGGTATTTTTGCACGTCAAACAGATTTAAGGACAAAGACTGTCAGTCTGTCGATCAAAGCTATTTTCTCGTTCCAAAATGTAGATTCCCATGGAGAAAAACAAGCAAGAAGCTCCATATTTTTCAATCAGTTTCATAATTCAATTATTTGTAACATTATAAAGTTGTTTATGTGAGAACAGTGTAAGAGTAATAATATAGCCAAAGAGACTTAAAAAGAAAATGAAATGGTTTTAATTATAAATTTCAAGGAAACCTTTTTCTGCCACGTACAGCGAGAAGGTTGCAATCTAATCTACTTCTAGCCGTTTTTATTACAAACACGTCACACACTTCCTACTAGTAGTAGTACTAACTTGTAGTAGTTACTTTAGCAGCTACTTGACCTTTTTTTATTTAAATACCTATTCTATCTTTGGATCGAAAAACAAAATCTAAGATTCTAAAGATATTTTTACCATTTTTTCTGCCACAGATATTGGTTAGAATAAAACTATGATCGTTAGCAATGATTTCATCTTCTTCAATATCAGAGGTGTCACTCAGTTCAAAGCCGAGTGAATATATTGACTGCATCACTTGTCCATCCTTATGGCCAACGCATAAATCCATCAAACTTGAACAAAACAATGCTGTAGATAAAAATAGGGACTTATATTCACTGACTTATATTCTGTGTGTGTGTAGAAGTATTATACATATGTATACAAGTTGATCTCTTTGTTTCGATTGGTCATGCTGTAAGGGTAATATTAATATTATTATTCGTTCACCATTTTTTTATTATCTCACTGGTTATGCGTTTAAGGTTAAATAGTTATGTGACAAAAATACATTTTAGCTTTGAAACTTAAATTATTCTTCAAGGTACAGTACCTTGACACCAGGAGCACATACAACCATGAAGTATAGGACCAGCTTATTCAAAGACTAGATACAAAATGGCCAAAGGTGATCGTACCTAATAGTATCTGCGAAACTTCAATTCCTTCTAAAAACTATTATTGTACCATATTATAGGTAGGATCTCGTCGAGTGGTGCAGTGGGCAGCGGGTCTGATGGTAGTACAGGGAGTGGTCGGCAAGCTGGGCGCCGTGTTCATCATCATCCCGCAGCCCATAGTCGGGGGCCTGTTCTGTGTCATGTTCGGGATGATATCTGCCTTCGGTAAGTTTGCTGTTGCAGGGAAGGAAGAAATTACGTACTTTAATGATCTTTATAGCTGTAATTCCTATGTTTAAAGATTCTTATTTATGAAACGGTTGGGAAAACCTAATCAAAAATTTAAAAAAATAGGAAATTAGGTTCAATCTTTCTTGGCACAAAGTAACAAATAGTTTCTGATAGCGATATAGATAATACGAGATTAAGGGCTGATTTTTCAATAGTCAGATAAATGTTATCTGAGGAATAAATTGTTGCTGGCACTGTCTTTTACAAACATTCTCACGCGACAGCATCATACTCATTCCCCGGGTAAGTTTCATCTAAACATTGAAAAATCAGCCCCAAATGGAATATCGAACTTGAATTTGTATGAATTATGTGCAAACTTTATGGGTGAAGAAAGCAAAATAAAGAGTTAAAATCCCTTTAATTAATATCTAAATACCAGGAAAAAATAGGTCGCAGGATGCTTAAAACTTTACACTGTACTTGTAGGTCTATCAGCGCTCCAGTATGTGAATCTGAACAGCTCTCGGAACCTGTACATCATCGGGTTCAGTTTGTTCTTTCCGCTGGTGCTGACGCGTTGGATGGCGGCGCATAGTGGCGTCATACAGACAGGGTCGGAAGCTCTGGATGCTGCACTGCAAGTTCTGCTGTCCACTTCTATACTGGTGGGAGGCATCATCGGATGCTTCCTGGATAATGTCATACCTGGTGAGAATTATAATGTATAAGAGGTTACGTGTTGAATACTGTAGTTTCCAACTAGTCAAATTCAATACTTTTATCCAAGTGTCAAAAACGGGAATTTTTAAGGAATTTGTATGAAACTCTGAATTATTACGTCATAATTTTATTTTGCGTCAAATAGGTAGCTTAATTATTTCTTATTTTTTTTAAAAAGTTCAAATTATTGTGTATCGACAGATCGGTGAAAAATAGTTAATTTTCAATATTTAATTCTAGTGAAATGTTCAAAAGTACAAAATTCTCAATTTCAGCCGTATTACGGATTTTGTTTTCTTCGTCAGTAACTTGCTTAGTATTAAACTGTTCGGTAAAGTTTTTTTTTAAAAAAAAAATGAGCATGAAGGACACTTACATCTCAAATGATCACATCATGGTCGAAACATGATCTGGAAATGATGATCATTCATCATCATCATTGTACCCTCAGGTACGGATGAAGAGCGAGGACTTGCAGCCTGGGCCAAGGAGATGAGTCTAGACGCAGCCGGGGCATCTGAAGAGGGAGACACGTATGACTTCCCTATAGGAATGGGACTTATAAGACGGTAAGTGATAAGTGTACAACACGAAGTACTCACAGGGAATGTATTTATACTTTTGTTGTGGAAACCTGCAAGTTTGTCAGTAATGAACTTATTTTTCATGATACTTCTGTGCCCAAAGTAAAGTTGGGAAAGGCAAAAATGCTACAGAAATGACGCCAAAAATCAAGATTGGATAATGAAAATTATAACTGCAGATAATTGCCCTTTAATTAACGAATTTAAATTTTAATAATATATTATAATTTTTTTAAGGTGGAAATGGACCCAATACCTGCCATTCATGCCTACGTACCAGGCTGGCAAGTTCACAGCGCTGTTCACGAAGAAAGAGAACTAATGAAAACCAGGGTACCATAAATTCAGAGGTGGTTGCTTGTAATCAAGTACAATGAGGCGTACGAATGGTATATACCCTAAATACGTGATATTAACTTTTGTAGGTAGGTGAAAAATATTTGTACAAAATATAAGGAAAGGAAAAAGTCAATATTTGCTGGATAAGTATGGGATTCCTGATTTTTTACATAAATCAAGAAACAAAGATAATTCTTAGCGCACCTAAGGCTTAAAAAAACGAATAACAATAATGCCCTTTCATTAGCGTAAGGTTGAAATGTCGATACTAGGAAAATATAAGCAATTTTGGTTTTGATATATTTATGAACTTCAAGGTTTACATTATGTTTTAAAATATTTATTAGATACATACACACCTACGTACTTACTTTCAAGTATTATTATATTCGACAGAATGTACATACATAGAATTATACCTATTGTAAAATTTAAACCTGAATAAAAACCCTTTTAAAAAGCATTCTAATTTCTAATGAGTTTTTGATTATTTAATACATTTTTATCGTGTGTTCGTTTCTAGTGAACAGTTTCTTGACTGAAGGCGAAAAAATATATGCAAGAAATTGATGAATGAGTTTAACAGGATTCTCTTGTAAAAGTCACTTTAAGTTTATTTACATGACTTTCATTTTGGAGTTCTATTTGTTTGTCTAAGATTTTTATCCAATGAATCATGAGCATTGGGATATAATACTGATATAAACATCGCCAGAAAAATTGCAAGTGAAAATTAATTTAACAAAAAATTCGATCTTTGGTAAATAAGGTTAATGTGTTCTTGTTAAAATCTGTTGACAGCGAAGGTTTTGAAAACAGATAAAAACCAAGCAATTGTTATGTATGTAAGTACATAATTTTATCATTGTCATTATATCAGGTACGAGATAAAAAAAACTATTACTAACGCGTTTGAAGGTATTACAACAAAATATAAAAGGCGTCCATAGACCGCTTTAATTTTCGTCCATTCATTTATAAATATTTTATTGGATTGAAAAGTTGAATTTTACTACCTAAATTAAATAGCTAAAAAACATGTATAGCACAGTGTTGTTAACTACCAATCTGTAAATAGTACTCCATGGAAAGGTGTATACTATATATTATTATAAAAACCAGTGTTCCTATAAAGCTATATAGTGAAGTCTATAACTTACAATAGAGTGTGACTAGCCCCGCCTCCGGTCACGTCTTTGATGCTATTTTAATATCCTGCGCTCGGCTCACAGGTACGGTGCAAAACATACCTTATACGTACCAGGAGTCCATAGAAAACTAGTAGGTTCCTACATTGTATTGCACGGAGGAACAACACAATGTTTAGTCTTTAGATAAGATTAGTAAAACATTATTTTAATTTAAGACATTTTTGAGCTTCCTAAATTACGTCAAGCAATTTGTTCATTAAATTTCTTCGCGTAGGGTCACTGTCTCAGAATGTCCGAAAACTTCTCGAAAGTTCTGCTTTCATTACACGATCCATTACGTGTTGTCACTGATATTGCTGCGACACTTTCTTATTGATGACTTTGAATCAATACCGCAATGTAATCTACTTTTTCTTTACTCACGCACGCAGTGTATTGACCACTCCATTTTCTAAGAATTATTGGTTGGAAGACAAAAAATGGATTGGATGTAATATGTCAAAAAATAACAAGTTAACTTTTTTGCGCAATTATTTGCAACATGAGAACTATAAAGTCGAATGAATTTACTTTTTTTAGATTCCTGTATAGGTATTATCGAATTGCTTTAATTTTTTTTAACCAATCAATCAACGAACATTTGGGGCCCATCATAACGATTATTTGTTTCTTATGAAAAATATAGTAATTCCTACCTAGATTTTAAAGTCCTATCTATGTGTTATTTATTACATGCACAAAATGACCTACATAATATTATCAACATATGAGGAATACAAACACAAGGTACGCCTGAGATTATTATAATAAAATACTGGATATTGGACGCAACATGCTTGGAAGGTACTAGGGCGACAGGAGATTACAGGCGTACATATATTTTCTTTTCTTTATATTTACGAACAAGATTACTTCGATAATCTTGTGTAGCCTATCATATGCGTAGAGTTATCACGGACCTTATGAAAACTCATATAGTATTAAGGTATGAATCCACTTTTCCCAACACCCACTGCTAAGCCTGAGGTCTGAAGCCTCTCGTCAGACCCGACCTTATATTTTATCCTATTTCTAAGTAAAGTAGATTTTCTATATAAATGTTGTTATGGGCCATGATTACATGTTCTCAGGGGAATAATGGAAGAAAATGTATTTCTAACTAAAACATTATTTTACGCTGTAAAAGTGGATTTATTATTATTTTCAGTTCGTGGTTGTTGCAGTCAAAGGGTTGTTTTAAGAATTATTATTTACGTGTTTCTATCGATCATCGACCTGTAAATTTATGTCGCCAGACATAACAATTTACATATATTTTAAAGTAATTGCTTTGGTCGGCGAAAGTGGATGGCAAAAATATAATTTCGTACATGATTTTATACCTCATTATGTGTAAATGAGTTTTAAATTTATATAATAATACATACATATACGATGTGTTCCAGACCGATATGATTCTTTCTAACTAATTTAGACCAACCAAATTTCAGCTTAATTAAATGTGTCATAAGGATAATTTTAACTTCGGACGGAAGTCCCATATTTAGCGAGAAACTAAACAGGAACAGCTGTGGAAACTAAATATAGTTTTTATGTGACATTACTTTGGATTGATGAACACATTCAGTTTTATGAAAATCAGAAGCACCAAATGATATGGACATGATCCAAGGCCCACCGGATGTGTCATAGGTAATGTGTGAGTCCTGTGTGACGTCTTCTCTTCTTTCTCGGATTAAAGCTTCAAATTTCCAATCGTTATACATGTAAGTAGCAAATGTGATGTGTATTTTATTCCTGAGCGGAATAATCTTTGTGCGATTAGAATCACACAAATTTTATGTTTGTAAACGCACCCAGGGCTCTAGAAAAATGCAGGTGGGAAACAACGCTTTAAAGAAAAAGAAAAATACAAATTAGTAGATACTAAAACCAGCGTTTCAAGCGATTTTAACCACTACGCATTAGACCATCGCCGTGTGAGTGAGGTTACCAGAGACCCAATCCTTCCTCTCCCCCGATCCCTCCCAATCCCTAAATCTCCAAAACCCTAATCCCTAAAAGGTTGGCAACGCACTCGTTACTCCTCTGTTACGGGTGTCCATGGGCGGCGCTGATTACTTACCATCAGGTAATCCGTCTGCTCGTTTGCCGAACTATTCAATAAAAAAAAAGACCAATGACGCAGTCTTTAGATACAAACTCCAAATAAAAAACTTCTAAGACATTAATAAGCCCCCAGCCCTTAAGTCGCATTTTCTTTAAACGGATATCGTTCTAATATTTTATTTAAACACGCCACCTTTCCACAGATAACGTAGAAGAAGTTTTCCTATATCGATGTGCGAGCGAGAGATCCGTGAAACGCAAGGCAGGTGAAGGAGTGAAAAGGTCAAGCTTGCGTACTCGGAATTCTTACCCGGGTGACGTAACGATACCCGGCTCGGCACCTGAGACCCGCTAGTTTATTAACCACCCGGGAATGTTAGAATCTACGCTTTAATAATATAATAAGCTTTTGAGGTGAAACATTTTTAAGAAATTGTCAGTGTGATACCAGGGCCTATAACATGTGACGGTTACCAGAAGTCCAATTCTTCCCCTCTTTCATCCCTCTCCAATCTCTAAATCCCCAAGACCCCTTATCCATAAAAGGTTGGCAACGATTTTACAACTCTTCTGGGTTTGTGGATGTTCATGGGCAGTCAATTGCTAACTATCAGGTAAAGCGTCTGCCAGTATATCTGTCAATACGCATCACATATGAAAAAAGGAATTATTGCAAAAAAAAAACTGTGCTATTTAAGGCATCACTGGGATGACTAAAGTGATCTGTATTCAATTGCAATTTTGGAATGTGTGTACTTTTTATGGAAATAGATTTGCCCAAGTGTAAAGACATCTATTCTTAGAATAACCAAACTTAGTCAATCCTTTTTGGGAAATAATAAAAACGGATGACCAATTCTTTTGGCACACATTTGGCTAAAATGTCAGATTTTCCACAAACATTAATTGTGAGTCAGCAATCGTTTTTACTAAGTTTCGGGGACAATTCTTGCTGTTTATAGTACGCATCGGTGACGAATTTGTGACTTCTTCCCTAAAGTCCTTTCCACGTCACCGTTTTATGAGGCCTTTGACGTTGCCAGTGATGTAAACAGTCTGGTCCTTCATTGTTTCTGTTTTATGACTCATTGCTGTAGTGCTGTTAAAGAAATTCGTTGTGTGATATGAAATCCTGGTAGTATGATTGTAAAGGCAATGAAAATATGATAAATCTTCGCCTAAATGGTAATTGGCCTTAGCATATATTGAAGACATGACTCAATCGGAGTTATACCATGATCTCGCAGAAAACCGCTGTGAAATAACGCTTACCTACATTGTGATTCGTCGTGGGACTATAGGAGGTACAGACTATTCCCTCCCCTATCCAAATCCCCAATTTCCTAGTCCTCTAATTACCAACAACTCCTAAATGGTACCGTACTTTAATGTCCTCTTGTGTTGAGAATGATATCTACGTCGATTGCTTCACATGAGGTGATCCGTCTGCTGGTTAGCTGCCTCAGTTTATGTACTCGTTGTACATAAACTGTTGTGTTTCCCCTAGGACGTTAGTATCAATATTTTAAACTAAATTATCACGAATTGTGACGCACTTTGTATGTATATGATAAAAGGGGGTTTAGTAGTTACATAATTAGAGTGGTGCTTACCAGGCAAATCCATCCGATGTTCGTGTTGACACGTAACGATGTTCCCACTCGGACCCAACGACCAACGTTTGCGGAAGGGTTAATAATGCTGGATTAATGTTGTTATTTGCACAGTCAATACGCGTTCCGAGGGTTGAGAATGACCTACTTACATTGGATTATTTCTTTAAATTTTTACATTAATTCTCATGGATTTATAGTGTCCTAGTAGTACTTAAGATTTCTTTTGTTTGCATTTCAAAGTTTTTTTTTTATAAAATTACAATAGTTTACATGATATTCAGTGTTCAGGTTAAATAGCCAAGTGTAACTGAATATAAGAAGTATAATACTAGATAAACATACTGATACGCACACAAAAATAAATAATTCACATTGAGGGTAGTTAAACATAGTCGGATTAAAATGAAATCTCTCCTCCATCTTTATTGTTTTGCTACAATGGATGGTATAATGTTAAAAAATTGTTAGTGAATAAAAATATTTCTTAATTGAATACTTATAAAGTTACGATTAGATTGAAGCAGTTCTTAATTAGCTATTGTATATGCCTGAGTCGATGTTAACATAGTACAA